TATAAAAATACTATTTGGAAATACAGAGATAAATACCAAAAACTTGGTTAAAAGATGTAAGCTGTTTCATCTGGGATATGGGAAATAGGTATGGAAGGCTGCTGTTCCTTCCAACACTACATGCACACATTACTCTCATACAGGAAAATGCAATGAACAAAATAATGGCAAAAGTGATATTTTAATTAGGGTACAATTTCAAGTTTTTAAGCTAATCCCTTTCAATGGTAATAAGTAGTATCATAGTAAGTATTAATTTACTGTATCTTATGAACCTGCAAACCTACAAATGTTACTCTTTAAGCAGGAAATATACATATCCTAAAGAAGACAGTCTGTGAAATATTTTAAATCTACAAAGGTACAAGGGGAGATTCAAACATATTAATTGAATTCAATGGATAGGTATTATGGTTGGGATTCTGGGAAAATGGCATAATAGGTCATTGTGGTAACCTCGTCTTATATACACACTGAAGCAGCAAATTCACATCATACAACTTGCGCTGAAAACCCACAAAACAGACCTTCCAAGGCTAATGATGAAGGAAAGGCCACATTCAGAAGAGTACATGGGCAGAGATAGTTTGGGAGCTCACAAGTGGGAGGGAGAGAGGTGTGGAAAAATGAGGGCATCAAGTCCCACACCCAGCATGCCTGGCCCTGGGGACGTGCACTGGGAAAAATAGCTCCCATATCACCTGGCTGTGAAAATTAGCTGGGCTTTACTCTAGGAGAGCCAGAACACTGTGGGAGGCCAAGTCTCCACTCTGGGAGGGCTGGCATGCTGTGTCAATCAGTCTGAGACACAGAAGCAGCAGTTTGAAAAGCATCTGTGTTACATGTGAAGGAGAGTTACTGACTAATTTTGGGTCATGTACCAGAGGAGTGGGGGTCTCCAGGAGCTTTCTTCAGGGAAGGATGGGTTGATGGGTGCCATTTATCATGCTCTCCCTTAGCCCAGCTGGCCGGAAGCTTGCAGAAGCCAGTTCTGACATTCTCCATCACCATGCTAGCACAGCTTGCCCACTAGGTGTTCCTCTGTGGATTCACCCTGTCCCTCCAAAGCCCTACCCCTTACCCGGCAACCAGCCCTAGCCAGGACCAATGCCAGTCCAGAGCATCCTCTGTTGTGGGGAGGGCAGGAGCTAGCTGCATTCAGTATCACATTGCAGTAGATAGAGCTGGACCTCTCAGGCAGTTCTCCCCACAAGGATGTCCACATTAGTCATGGCCAGCCACTGCTAGAAGCCAAGCTGAGGGCTAACCTTATCCACCCTTGCACTGGCAGGGGCTGTGCTGAGCTTTAGCCAGCTACACTGAGAGTAAGCCCTGCAAATGAGCACAACTGCAGTAGTCCACTGTCCATTGCTGGTAGCCAGGCAGAGGGTCAGCTCACCCACTAGCCCACTCACAGCAGTAATGGCTCAGCCGGAAAAGGAGTGTGTACACAGCCCACTCAGGAGACACCTCTGGAGTGCCTGGTTCTGGTGAGCAAGGGTTACTGCACATCTGGGTACCACAGGATGCACACTATATCAGGTCACTGTTTTTAAGACCAGAAACATAGCCAACCTACCTAATACATACAAACAAACACAGAGAGCCAGACAAAATGGGGAGGTAGAATATGTTCCAAACAAAAGAATAAGACAAAACACACACAGAGCAGGGGTCCTAATGCCCTCGGCCAGTCCGACAGCTCAGTATCGACCTAGTCAGCACCACTTCCAATCTGCAGCTATGCCAAATGCCCCACCTGGGAATACAAGCAAAAGGCCAAACATCACGAGACATTTTGAGGAAAGACTTAAACATGAAAGATGAAATACCAAGATAAACACTAGGGAAGTAACAGCTGTTGAAAGCAGGCCATCCAGAAAAAATTTTTTTAATGATCATTTATCAGAAAACTAAAGAGCAGATATTGCAACTGTGGACCAATCACTGAAGGAATGTTCAGAACAAAAAACTCATGAGAATGTAAAATGTAGTATTATAACTTCAGAGCAAGGGTTAGAACATAAGGCTGAAATTATTTCCCATCTGTAGAGCAAAAAACGGGGGGGAAAAAAACAAGGAAATTAGGAGGATAATCCAGAAGGTCTGATATCCAAGCAACAGGATTCCCAAAACAAAAAACCTAAATGAGGAAATCATCAACAAAATCACCCCCCAAAAAAGTCTCAAAACTGGAAAATGTGTCAGCAGTCTGAAAGGGCCCTCCTTGTGCCCAGAAAAATGGACTGAAACAGACCTACACCAAAGACACTTTTGTAAATTTCCTAAAACTGGTTTAAAAGAGAAGATCCTCGGAGCACCCACAGACAAACAACCCAGTTCCTACAAAGGATCAAGAGACCTCAGATTTCCCAACTGCAGCCCTGGAAAGTACAGAACCTCTGAGTTCATACTCATAATTCCACAGCTAAACCATTCACTAGCACCATCAAAAGCAATATATGCCATCAACATATCAGAAAAGCTTACAGCTTCTGAATCCTTTTCCTAGGAAGCTAGTTGAGGAGGTGCTCCAGCAAAAAGATGGAATAAACCAAAGAAGAAGAATCAGAGGTAAACAGACCCTCAGGATGAGGAGGTAGTCTCTAGACTATGGCTGAACAGAGACCCCAAGCGCAAGCAGACTGAAACAGAACATCTCAGGGGCTTCAGGGAAGATTTAAGAAGATGAAACATTTATATGTTGGGGCACAGTAGAAAACAACTGTACAACTCAGAGGAAAAACTATATAGAGATTACACAGCAATCTAAGCCTCTAAACTAAAATAATTATTAATACCTAGGAAAAATTATTGTGTAAGAAGGGCAAAATTATGTAATTGTCAACTCACTGTGCTATACACCTGAAATTAATATAGTATTGTGTGTCAACTACACTTCAATTAAAAAAAAAAGGAAAAATAATCACAGTTTCACTCAAGGCTCAACCACAAATACGATTTATGCAGTTGAAGTAAGGGGAAACTGAATATTGATTAAATCAACACTAAGATGTAATTATTGTATCAGAAGACGAATGCACAGGAAGAATTCATCTTAAATGTGTGTGCATGTGTATGTGATAGGAGAGAAGGACCAAAAGGAGCCAATCTTCACTGTCTACATGCAAAGCTAAAAGAGGATGCCTAATACTGAAAGTAAAAGGTAGCAATATAAAAATACTATTTGGAAATACAGAGATAAATACCAAAAACTTGGTTAAAAGATGTAAGCTGTTTCATCTGGGATATGGGAAATAGGTATGGAAGGCTGCTGTTCCTTCCAACACTACATGCACACATTACTCTCATACAGGAAAATGCAATGAACAAAATAATGGCAAAAGTGATATTTTAATTAGGGTACAATTTCAAGTTTTTAAGCTAATCCCTTTCAATGGTAATAAGTAGTATCATAGTAAGTATTAATTTACTGTATCTTATGAACCTGCAAACCTACAAATGTTACTCTTTAAGCAGGAAATATACATATCCTAAAGAAGACAGTCTGTGAAATATTTTAAATCTACAAAGGTACAAGGGGAGATTCAAACATATTAATTGAATTCAATGGATAGGTATTATGGTTGGGATTCTGGGAAAATGGCATAATAGGTCATTGTGGTAACCTCGTCTTATATACACACTGAAGCAGCAAATTCACATCATACAACTTGCGCTGAAAACCCACAAAACAGACCTTCCAAGGCTAATGATGAAGGAAAGGCCACATTCAGAAGAGTACATGGGCAGAGATAGTTTGGGAGCTCACAAGTGGGAGGGAGAGAGGTGTGGAAAAATGAGGGCATCAAGTCCCACACCCAGCATGCCTGGCCCTGGGGACGTGCACTGGGAAAAATAGCTCCCATATCACCTGGCTGTGAAAATTAGCTGGGCTTTACTCTAGGAGAGCCAGAACACTGTGGGAGGCCAAGTCTCCACTCTGGGAGGGCTGGCATGCTGTGTCAATCAGTCTGAGACACAGAAGCAGCAGTTTGAAAAGCATCTGTGTTACATGTGAAGGAGAGTTACTGACTAATTTTGGGTCATGTACCAGAGGAGTGGGGGTCTCCAGGAGCTTTCTTCAGGGAAGGATGGGTTGATGGGTGCCATTTATCATGCTCTCCCTTAGCCCAGCTGGCCGGAAGCTTGCAGAAGCCAGTTCTGACATTCTCCATCACCATGCTAGCACAGCTTGCCCACTAGGTGTTCCTCTGTGGATTCACCCTGTCCCTCCAAAGCCCTACCCCTTACCCGGCAACCAGCCCTAGCCAGGACCAATGCCAGTCCAGAGCATCCTCTGTTGTGGGGAGGGCAGGAGCTAGCTGCATTCAGTATCACATTGCAGTAGATAGAGCTGGACCTCTCAGGCAGTTCTCCCCACAAGGATGTCCACATTAGTCATGGCCAGCCACTGCTAGAAGCCAAGCTGAGGGCTAACCTTATCCACCCTTGCACTGGCAGGGGCTGTGCTGAGCTTTAGCCAGCTACACTGAGAGTAAGCCCTGCAAATGAGCACAACTGCAGTAGTCCACTGTCCATTGCTGGTAGCCAGGCAGAGGGTCAGCTCACCCACTAGCCCACTCACAGCAGTAATGGCTCAGCCGGAAAAGGAGTGTGTACACAGCCCACTCAGGAGACACCTCTGGAGTGCCTGGTTCTGGTGAGCAAGGGTTACTGCACATCTGGGTACCACAGGATGCACACTATATCAGGTCACTGTTTTTAAGACCAGAAACATAGCCAACCTACCTAATACATACAAACAAACACAGAGAGCCAGACAAAATGGGGAGGTAGAATATGTTCCAAACAAAAGAATAAGACAAAACACCAAAAAAATTGCTAAATGGAACAGAGATAACCAATCCACCTGATAAAAAATTGAGTGTAACAGTCATAAAGATGCTCACTAGAGAGAATAGATGAACTCAGAGAGAACTTCAACAAAGAAATAGAAAATATAAAAAGAATCAGAGCTAAAAAATACAATAAATGAAATGAAAAATACACTGCAGACAATCAATAGATTAGAGAATGCAGAAGATCAGATCAGTGATCTGGAAAACAAGGTAGTAGAAAGCAAGCAAGGTAAGCAACAGGAAAAAATTTTTTAAATGAGAAGATGCTAAGAGATCTCTTCAAATGAAACAGTATTCACACTAACAGGGGATCCAGGAGGATAGAGAGACAAAGGGGCAGAAACCTACCTGAAAAAATAATAAGATGAAATTTTCCTAACCTGGGGAAGGAAATAGACATCAAGGTCTGGGAGAACACATTTAACAAGATGAACCCAAGGAGGTCCACACCAAGACACATAGTAATTCAAATGGCAAAAATCAAAGATAAAAGTAGACTCTTTAAAGCAGTAAGAGAAAAGCAGAGTGTTACATACAAGGGAAATCTCATAAGCTATTTGCTTATTATTTAGCAGAAACTTCAGAAGGGAGTGGCATGATACATTCAAAGTGTAAGAGGAAAACAAACAAACAAAAAAAACCATACAACCAAGAATACTCTACCCAACAAAGTTATCATTTAGAACTGAAGGAAAGATAAAGAGTTTGTCAGACAAACAAAAGGTCAAGGAGTTCACCAACCACTAAACTGGCCTTAGGAGAAATGTTAAAAGGACTTCTTATGTAGAAAAGAACAGGCCATAACTAGAATCAAGAAATAGGAAGGAAAGTAATACCACTGGTAAAAATAAACATACAGTAAAGAAAGCAGCTCAATCACTCATAAAGCAAGTATGAAGTTCAAAAGAGAATAGTAGTAAAATCAATTACATATGCCAAACTGAGTGAAGGAATACACAAAACAAAAAGATGAATATCATGAAATCATATATATTAAAAGCAGATGGAATAAAAATATAGTGCTTTGTAAAGGTGTTTAAACTTAAGTGACCATTGATTTAATATTTAATATCTGCTATATATATGATGCTATATATGAACCTTATGTTAACCACAAACCAAAAACCTGTAACAGATACATAAAAAATAAGGAGAAAGTAGACCAGAGGACAGAAAGAAGATGGCAGACTAGAAAGGAAAAGTGGAAACCTCCTCCCACATACACACCAAAGAAGCAACTATAGCAAAGACAACTAACCTGAGAATGACCTGAAGACTGCAGAACAGACCACCTAGACTTGGCAAAGAAGAGAAGACCACACAGAAAAGGGCAAAGTGGCAGAGCTGTGATCGAGTTGGACCCAAGCCCTTCTTCCCACATCCCAGCCCACAGTTGGGAGGAAGAGGAACAGAGAAGAGAGGGGACAGGCACCCAGGAACTCTGCACACCTGGCCCTGGACATCTGCTCTGAGAGCAGGAGTCCACATTGCATTAGGTACTGGTGATTAGCAGGGATTGACACCAGGGACAGGTGGAACACTCTGGGGGGCTGAGACTCCAGCCACTTGTGTAGGACAGGCACACTCTGCTGAGACTGAACACAGAAGCAGCAGTTTGAAAAATTCACCAGTAGTGGGAGGGAGAAAGGTGGAGGGAGCTCTCTCTGCAGGGGAAAGAGCAAGTGAATGATACTCTCCAGCCCCACCTTGGTCCAACACTTCAGGCACTCTCAGGAGTCCCAGATACTCCATCCCAGTCACTAGCGGCTCAGCCCAGAGGCACCTCCCTGCGCACCACTGGTGCACCAGTCGACTCAAACCAGCAGTGTTGGACTTTGCTGCCTGGTGGGCAGAGGGAGACTCTCCCAGTTTCAGCTCAACAAGGGAGGAACCTGCAGGAGCCAGCTCCAAGACCTCCATCATCCTCTGGATGACCAAGCCTGGTGCTGTGCACCAAGCTGCCACCAGGGGACATCTGCCACTTGGTGCCACAGCATCCCATGATTGGCTGCCTCACTTCTCCCTGCCACAGTGGACTCACTGCCGCCCTGCCCTGTCCCAGAGCCATGCAAACGCCCTGCTTATCAGTTTAAACCTACAGCCTCCCCACCACTGCAGAGCAGGCGAGGGTGACCCCGCCCACAATGATCCCAGCAGAAGCCACTGCTCTGTTCACAAAAGGCCAGCTAAGGCAAACTTCTGGCATTAGTGGACTGAGACCACTATAGGCAAACACAAAGGCAGGCCCATGCACTGCCCAGCAACAGCAACTGGGGCTTCACCGCAAAGGAGAAGCAGGCACTGGAGAGTAAAGACTCTTGAGTGTTTGGGCATCACAGGACGCTTTATTCATAAAGTTATTACTCTCTAGACCAGGAATTATAGCAAAGCCGTTTAATACAAAGGAAGAAATACAGAAACCCTGACAAAATGAAGAGGCAAAGGAATATGATCCAAACAAAACTACAGGATAAGACACCAGAAAGAGGGCTAAATGAAATGGAGGTCACCGATCTTCCTGATAAAAATTTCAAAGCAAAATTCATAAATATGCTCACTGATATGAGAAGTATTGACCATCTTAGGGAGGACTTGAACAAAGAGATACAAGAGCCAAAAAGAACCACTCAGAGCTGAAAAATACCACACTGTAATGAAATATACAATGGAGGGAATAGAAAATAGATTGCTGCAAGTGGAGGAGAAAATGAGATGGAAATTAAGAGAACAGAAATACAAGAAAGCTGAGGAACAGAGAAAAAAAAGAATTTTTAGGAATGAAAGGATAAGAGAGCTTTGTGACCAATCCAAACAAAACAATATTTGCATAATAGGGTTACCAGAAAGAGGAGAGAGACACAAAGGGACAGAAAGTCTCTTTGAGGAAATAATTTTTGAAAACTTCCCCAATCTGGGAAGAAAACAGACCCTCGGGTCATATTAGTTCAGCGAGCCCCTAGTTCAGAAGGAACCCTAGGAAGATAACACCAAGGCATATAGTCATTAAAATAACAAGCATTAAGGATAAGCAGAGGGTATTGAAAGCAGCCAGAGAGAGAAAAAAGATTACTTACAAGAAAAACCCCATCAGGATATCAGCAGACTTTCCAGCAGAAAATTTACAGGCCAGAAGGGAGTGGCATGAAATATTTAATGTATTAAAACATAAAGACCTTCAACCAAGAATACTCTGCCCAGCAAGATTATCATAAAATAAAACCACAGTAAAGGTAGTGGACCAAATAATCACCAAACAAGCACAAAATTTAAAAAAAATAAAATAAAGCCAACTACACACAAAATCAGTCAAGCGATACACAAAAATGAGCTTATGACATCTAATACATAAAGTGTAGAGAAAAAAGAAGAGTACTTTTAGATTGTGTTTGAAACAGAGTAATCAATTTAATATAGACTGTTACAGAATCAGGAAGCTATCCTTGAAGCTTTGGTAACCACAAACCTAAAGCCTTTAATAAATAGACAAAAAATTTAAAGAGGGATGCAATCACAATGCTAAAGAAAATCACCAAATAATAAGAGAAGAAAAAGAGAAGAACTATAAAAACAAACAGAAGACAATTAATAAAATGGCAATAAGTAATACCTATCATAATTACCTTAAATGTAAATGGACTGAATGCACCAATCATAAGACACAAAGGGGTAGAATGGATAAAGAAACAAGATCCAACTATATGCTGCCTATAAGAGACTCATTTCAGACCCAAACACATACACAGATTGAAAGTGAAGGGATGGAAGAAGACATTTCATGCAAATAATAGGAACAAAAAAGCAGGAGTTGCAGTATATATATCACACAAAATGGACTTCAAAACAAAGAAAGTAACAAGAGACAAAGAAGGGCATTATATAATAAGGGGTCAGTCCAACAAGAGTATGGAACCATTATAAATATCTATGCACCTAACACAGCACATCTAAATATTAAAAAAAAATACCAACAGAATTCAAGGGGACAATAGATTGTGATATATTCATTTTAGGAGACTTTTACCACACCACTCACATCAATAGATCAACCAGACAGAAAATAAATAAGGAAATGAAGGCACTGAACAATGCATTAGATAAAATGGACTTAACAGACATCTACAGAACATTCCACCCAAAAGCGGTAGGATATACATTCTTCTCAAGTGTACATGGAACATTCTCCAGAATAGAACACAAACTAGGCCACGAAAAGAGCCTCAATAAATTTTAAAAGATTGAAACTGTATCAAACAACTTCTCAGACCACAATGGTATGAAACTAGAAATAAATTACACAATGAAAAAACAAAAAAGCCTGCAAACACCTGGAGGCTAGACAGCATGCTTCTAAATAACCACTGGATCAATGACCAAATAAAAAACATTTCAAGCTATACATGGAGACAAATGAAAGCAAAAATTCAGCAGCTCATAATTTGTGGGACACTGCAAAAGCGTTTCTAGGAGGGGCGTACAAAGCAATACAGGCACGCCTCAAGAAACAATAAAAATCCCAAATAACAGTCTAAAATCATAATTAAAGAAACTAGAAAAGAAATAATGAAACCCAAAGTAAGTAGAAGGAGGGACATTAAAGTTCAAAGCAGAATAAATAAAACAGACAAGAATAAAACAATAGGGAAAAAAATCAATGAAACAAGAGCTATTTCTTTGAGAAAATAAACAAAACAGATAAACCACCACCAGATTTATCAAGAAAAAAAGAGTACACAAACAAAATCAGAAACAAAGAAGGAATAGTCATGAAAGATACCAGAGAAATACAAAGAATTATTAGAGAATACTATGATAATTTACATGCCAATAAATTGGACAACCTAGGAGAAATGGACAAATTCTTTAAAGAACACAACCTCCCAAAATTGACCAAAGAAGAAATAGAAAATCTGAATAGAGCAATTACCAGTAATGAAATTGTACTGATAATAAAAATATTCTGAACAAACAAAAGTTCAGGCACAGATGGCTTCACAGCTGAGTTCTACCAAACATTTAAGGAAGACCTAATACCGATCCTTCTTAAAATATTCCAAAAGGTAGAAGAGGAGGGAATACTTCCAAAATCATTCTATGAGGCAAGCATCACTTTAATACCAAAACCAGACAATAACACCACAAAAAAAGAGAGAATTATAGGCCAACACCCCTGATGAATATAGATGCAAAAATCCTCAACAACATACTAACAAACCAAATTAAAAAGTACATCAAAAGGATCATCCATCATGACCAAGTAGGATTTGTTCCATGGATGCAGGGATAGTATAATATTGATCAATCAATATGTATCATATATCACATTAATGAAAAGAAGGATAAAAACTACATGAACATCTCAATAGATGCTTAAAAAACATTTGACAAAATTCAATATCCATTCATGATAAAAATTCTCAACAAAATGGGTATAAAGGGTATGCACCTCAATAAAATAAAGGCCATAGATGACAAACCCATAGTTAGATCACACTGAAGGCAAAAAACTGAAAGCCTTTCCTCTAAGATCAGGGACCAGACAAGGACGCCCACTCTCCCCACTACAATTTCATTTACAACTGTATCGAAAATAATAAAATACCTAGGAATAAACCAAACCAAGGAAGTGAAAGATCTGTACTCCGAAAACTATGAGACACTTGTAAGAGAAATTAAGACACCAATAAATGGAAATCTATCCTGTGCTCATAGATAGGAAGAATATTGTCAAAATGGCCATTCTGCCCAAAGCAATTTACAGATTCAGTGCAATCCTTAACAAACTACCAATAACGTTTCTCATAACCTAGAACAAATAGTCCTAAAATTCATGTGGAATCACAAAAGACCCAGAATAGCCAAGCAATCCTCAGAACAAAGCTGGGAAGATTATACTCTCTGACATCAAGCTATACTACATAGCTATAATAATCAAAATAGTATGGTACTGGCACAAGAACAGACCCATAGATCAATGGAATAGAATACAGAGCCAGATATAAACACATGCATATATGGTCAGTTAATATATGATAAAGGAGCTGTGAATATACAATGGGGCAAAGAGCCTCTTCCATAACTGGTGTTGGGAAAGCTGAACAGCTTCATGGAAGATAATGAAACTGGATTACTGCCTAACTCCATACACAAAAGTAAACTAGAAATGGATCAAAGACTTGAATGTAAGACATGAAACCATAAAACTCTTAGAAGAAAACAGGCAAAAATCTCTTAAACATAAATAGAGCATTTTTTCCTGGACACATCTCGGGCAAAGGGAACAAAATCAAAATTGAACAAGTGGAACTACACAAAATCAAAATTGAACAAGTGGAACTACATCAAACTAAACAGCTTCTGTACAGCAAAGGACACCATCAGCAGAACAAAAAGGCAACCTACAGTATGGGAGTTATATATTAATAAATGATTTCTCAGATAAGGGGTTAACAGACAAAATACATAAAGAATTCTTATACTTTGACACCCAAAAAACAAATAACCCAATTAAAAATTGGGCAGAGGACCTGAACAGACATTCTCCACAGAAGAAATACAATGGCCAATGGGCACGTGAAAGGATACTCCACACTGCTAATCATTAGGGAAATTCAAATCAAAACCACAATGATGTATCACCCACCTCACACCAGTCAGAACGGCCAATATCCAGAAGACAAGAAGTAACAAGTGTTGGCAAGGATGTGGAGATATGGGAATGCTCCTACACTGTTGGAGTGAAGGTTGACTGGTGCAGCCACTGTGGAAAACAGTATGGAGGTTCCTCAAAAAACTAAAAATATAAATGCCATTTGACCCAATAATACCACTTCTAGGAATTTACCCAAAGAAAGTAAAATCACTGATTCAGAAAGATATATCTGCGAGTTGGAAGCAACTGAAGTAACCATCAATAGATAAATGGATAAAGAAGATGTGGTTCATACACAGAAAGGAATATTATTCAGCCATAAAATGAAAAGAAATCCTGCCATTTGCAAAAACATAAACAGATCTAGGGGTATTATGCTCAGTGAAATAAGCTAGGTAGAGAAAGACAAATGTCATATGATTTCACTTATTTGTGGAATATAAAAACAAAGCAAAGCAGAATGAACAAAACAGCAGTAGACTCACAGACACAAAGAAGTGACTAGTGGTTACCCTAGGGGAGGGGTTGGGTGGGTGGATGGGGAGTGCAAAGGGGATAAAGGGTGCAGAAAAATTTAACCACAATATAAGTTGGTTGCAGGGATGGTAGTACAGCATGGAGATTACAATCAATGACTCTGTAATATCTTTCTACATTGACAGATGGCAACCACACTAGAGGGTGTGAGGATTTAATAATGTGGGTTAACTGATGAACTGCTGTCCTGCTCATCTGAAACCAATATAAGATTGCATATCAACGATACTTCAGTTTAAAAAAAATTTTTTTTAAATGCAATCCAACCACGACACAAAAGTAAGTCATCAAATCAAAAGGGAAGAGAGCAAGAGAAGAAAGGAACACAGAGGAACTACAAAGATGACCAGGAAACAATAAATGGCAATAAATATATACCTATCAATAATTATTCTAAAATGTAAACTGACTAAATGCTCCAATCAAAAGACAATGGGTGATGGCCTGGCTCCCCCGCCTGTCCGCCAGCTTCCTAGGTGGGCTTAGCTGCTGAGGCTTGGCGGGGAAGGCACCCGGGGCACCAGGGCAGGGAGCGGACGGCGCCAGGCACGCGGGGGCCGGGCGGGTGTTGGCGCTGGCTGCTAATGCCGCACGCGGCGGAGGCAGTGCTCCAGTGTCTCCAGGGCTGCGGTGCCTGCAGTCCCTGGGCAAACCGCAGAGTTGAAGCTTTGAAGGATAGGTAAAGACTTCCGGTATTATTTACAGCATCCCTGGTCTTGCATGATCGTGGCATACTTGGTGATCTTCAAGTGAGAAACTTCAGTGAGAAACTGTGGAGGACCCAGTTTCTCAGAGCCAAACAGAAGCCAATGTTATGATTGCTGGAAACTGTTTTTCATTTGTAACAAACAAATACCCCAGAGGGGTTGGCTAGAGGCTTCTGAAGGTGCTTCTGTGCCTCCTTGCGGTTCTCACAGGATTAGTAGATGGCAAATATCTGTTCCATCAGCGTTTGTTTGGTCAGTTGCTCTGGTTAAAAATGTTTCGACAGGGCCACAGGTCATCGATGACAATGTTCTTCAGCACAATTCTCTTTCTCTTCATATTTTCTCATATATACAACACGATTCTTCTATTGGATGGGAACATGGGAGCATGTATCATTACCGACTATATGGGCATCCTAAATTAAAGTTTCATGAAATTAGCTGCAGTGGGGACCTGGATGGTCAGGGGGGTGGGGGGGGACGGACTTTGTCACACCTTGGTCATTGACATGATGCTTCAGGACAAACCCTATCCTTACTGGGGGAAATCCGCAAGAGCTTTCTGGAAGAAAGGAAATGTTAGGATCATTTTATTCTGGACGGTTCTTTTCACTCTGACTTCTGCCGTTGTCCTCATCATCACCACTGACTGGATCAGCTGGGACAAGCTCAATCGGGGATTTTTGCCCAGTAATGAAGTTTCCAGAGCATTCCTGGCTTCCTTCCTCTTGGTCTTTGACCTCCTCATTGTGATGCAGGGCTGGGAATTCCCACATTTCATAGGAGATGTTGATGTAATCTCCCTGGACTGCACACTTCTCATATGCAGTTCAAGATTCCTTTCTTCCAGAAGATCTTCAAGGAGAAATATCATATTCACATAACAGGTAAATGGTTTCACTATGGAATTATATTTCTTGTCTTGATTTTTGGATCTTAGTATGTGGAAGAACCAGATCTTTTACAAACCTCATGAATACAGACAATATATTGGCCCAGGGCAGAAAATATATACAGTGAAAGAGTTCAAAAGTTTAAAGGATTTAAACAGAACCAAGCTTTCCTGGGAGTGGAGGTTCAATCACGCTAACCCTCTGACTAATAAAACGTATGAGGAGGGAGACATGTTTCTGCACAGCAGATTCACAGGGGCCAGTGATGTCAAGTGTCTGGCTTTTGTTCCGAGCCTAATAGCCTTCGTGTGGTTTGGATTCTTCATTTGGTTCTTTGGACAGTTTCTGAAAAAGGAGCAAAGCATGGAGACAAAACGTACACACACATGAAGAGGAAATCCCCATCAGAACACAGCAAGGACATGGGACTCACTGGAGAAAACACCTGGCCTCTGTGGAAGACCCACTGAATGACTCATCTCTGGTTTACATCAGGTCCAACCTCAATGAGATCGTCTACAAGGCTTCCCACCTGATGTCGGAGAATTTGAGCTCACAGTTGAATGAGCCCGCCAGCAGGACAGAAGCTGGCGACCTCTGAAAGTACACCTGCGAGGTAGGGCCGTGAGCTCGGCAATAGCGTGGAGGGCAGCCTTGAGCATCACCTTAACAAGCTAGTCTTTCCTCTTATAAATGTGAGGTTTCTGTAGGGCAAGAAACAGACACAAGGCCACAGTGTTGCTCAACATGCTTTTTCTAGGACTCATTGTTTTCTATTTGTATTATGATCCATGTGCCTACTGTGTATCTTATGGTCCTCTAGAGATTGCTTTTCACAACTGCACAAGCTATTCCCTGACTTCACCTCACAGTAGATGACAAGCCAACTACCCATGTGTCTGATGTCTGACAATATGGTGCCTTGAGACATTAAACTTGTTTTTAACTGTACCAGAAACAAAGAGTGGCACCATTCTCTAACCTACTTCACATGGGGTTTTTGTATACAATTATTCTGTCTACACTTGATATCTGAGCAGGTTAAAGGGATGGCCCAGAGGTGGCTCAGTAAGTACTCTGGTTTTTCACTCGGCAGTAGAGTTGGGGACTTTGATGCAAGACTGCAGAGAGGCACGGTGATTACCTTTGAATTTTTACTGGCCCTCTGCCATGTACAAATGCAGATGCAAAATTCAGTAACTGGAGAATGATAATCCAGCACAGGTCACTACTTGTGAAATATGACTCTCTCCACTGGTAACTGCAATTAGGCTAGTGATAATGCTTAATTATGTTTCCCTAATTAAAGATAAATTGCTACTTCATTAAAAACTGTACCCTTCACCTTTGGGAACAAAGGTTAGGAGGCACAGTTGGGCGAACTCTCAAGTTTATTGGCATTTACACAAAGCCTGAGAAAACCAAGGGGCTGAGGTTTTAACTACGTGAGGGACATGCAGTCTGCCATCTACAATGTTTGCACCTCTTTCTATAAATACGGCTCTGGACAGTGAAAACTGAAAGACAGGTGCCAACCCTGAGCAGGGAAAGTCCTCTAAAAATCACACACAGAACTTGTGAAGTAGAGAAAGAGGTGCATGAAAGAATCTGTGTAGTGGCTTGTGTGCGCCTTTTTTTTGGTTTTTGTTTTAAGAATTAAACATTGCGCATTACTAAAGAAGTATACATCAAAAAAAAAGGACAAAGGGTGTCTGAATGGATAAAGAAACAAAACCCCCTTGCTGCCTACAAGAGGCTCACTTCAGACATAATCACACACACAGACTGAAACTGAAGGGATAGAAGAAGATATTCCATGCAAGTGGACCCAAAAAAAAGCTGATGTGGCAGTATCTGTACAGTCAAAATAGACTTTAAAACAAAGACTGTAACAAAAGAAAAAGAAGGGTACTATATAATGATAAAGGGATGTGTCCATCAAGAAGATATAACAATTATAAATATCTATGTACCTAACAAAGGAGTACCTAAATATATAAAGCAAATATTAACAGACATAAAGGGAGAAATTTAAAGCAATACAATAATTAGTATTGGGACATAAAATCCTACTTATGTTTATGGATAAATCATCCAGGTAGAAAATCAGTAAGAAAGAAATGGCTTTGAACAACATATCAGACCAAATGGACATAACAGATTTATACAGAACATTCCATCTAAACACAACAGAATGCCATTCTTTTCAAATGTACCTGGAACAATCTCCACAATAGATCATGTCAGGCCACAAGACATGTCTCGATAAATTTAAGACTGAAATCGTATCAGGCATCTTTTCTGACCAGAATGGTATGAAACTAGAAATCAATTACAAGAAAAAAAAAAAGGGATAAAACAAAAACATGTGGAGGCTAAAAGTTACTAAACAACCAATGAGTCAACAAATAAATCAAAGACAAAATAAAAACACATGGAGGTAACTGAAAACAGAAAAAAAAACAGTTCAAAATATTTGGGATGCAGCAATGGGGTTCTAAGAAAGAACTTTATAGTGTTACAGGCCTAACTCAAGAAAACAAGAAAAAGCTCAAATAAATAGTTTATTCTTACAACTAAAGGAACTGGAAAAAGGACAACAAAGCCCAAAGTTGCAGAAGAAATGAATAATAAAGATCAAAATGCTAATAAATGAAATAGAAACTAAAACAAAAGAAAAAATCAGAATTAAGAGCCGGTTCTTTGAAAATATAAAATTGATAAACCATTAGCAAGCCTCATCAAGAAAAAACGAGGGAAGTCAAAAAAAAAATCCAAAATAAAAGTGAAGTCACGCTGACACCACAGAAATACAAAGGATAGAGGGTGGAGCCAAGATGGCGGCGTGAGTAGGACAGTGGGAATTTCCTCCCAAAAACATATATATTTTTGAAAATACAACAAATACAACTATCCCTAAAAGAGAGACCAGAAGACACAGGAAAACAGCCAGACTACATCCACACCTGCGAGAACCCAGCACCTGGCGAAGGGGGTAAGATACAAGACCCAGCCCAGCGGGACCTGAGCGCCCCTCATCCCAGCTCCTGGCGGGAGGAGAGGAGTCAGAGCAGGGAGGGAGAGGGAGCCCAGGACTGCTGAACACCCAGCCCTAGCCATCCGCACCAGAGCGCAGACACAGTGTGGGCGTGGGGTGCTGGAAACTAGGGAAACAGGACAGTAAGAACTGTGAGTGGGTCCCTGCAGTCAGCGCCCTAGGGACAAAGAAAAAGCAAGTGTTCTTTGAAAGTCTTAAAGGGACAGGGACCCCACAGATGGACGGAAGCATCCTGGGACACACAGACCAGGAGCTGGGAATCCCGGGGAACTCCAGGCACCCTAACACTCTGGGCAGCAGCTCTGAAAAGCCTCACGGTGATAAACAGCACCCCCCCACCAGTCTGTTCCCAGTCTGGCATCTTGCCAGAGCAGAGCAGCAGCCTGAGACTGGCGACACCCAAAGCAAGGGAGCTTCCTCCATAGTGGCTGGGTAAGAAACAGACCCAGTCTACGCGCAATTGCCCAACACAAGCCGCTAGGAGTTGCAGTTTTCCCAGTAAAGAAAGGCCAGGAGCCAAGTGGAAAAGGTCTTGGCTCTCACAGCTGACAGACGAATCAATAGCATACCAGTGCATCTATCAACATGAAAAGGCAAAAGAATTTGATCCCGACCAGGCTAACCCAGACATCTTCCACATCCTCTCCTGAGAAGGAATCAGGGGAGGTAGATTTAACCAATCTTTCTGAAAAAGAATTCAAAACAAAAGTCAACCATGCTGATGCACTTGCAGAGAAATATGCAAGAACTAAGGAGGGAGAATACAGAAATACAACAATCTCTGGAAGGACTTCAAAACAGAATGGACGACATGCAAGAGACCATTAAAGGACTAGAAAACAGAGAACAGGAACGCAGAGAAGCTGATGCAGAGCGAGATAAAAGGATAGCCAGGAATGAAAGAATATTAAGAGAACTGTGTGACCAACTGAAATGGAACAATATTCGCATCATAGGAGTATCAGAAGAAAAAGAGAGAGAAAAAGGGATAGAGAGCACCTTTGAAGAAATAATTGCTGAAAACATCCCCAAACTGGGGGAGCATATGGCCTCTCAGACCACAGAGGCACACAGAACTCCCATGACAAGGGACCCAAGGAGCATAACACCAAGACACATAATAATTAAAATGGCAAAGATCAAAGACAAGGATAGAGTATTAAAGGCAGCCAGAGAGGAAAAAAAGGTCACTTTCAAAGGAAAACCCATCAGGCTATCATCAGACTTCTCAACAGAAACCTTATAGGCCAGAAGAGAATGGCATGATATATTTAATGCAATGAAACAGAAGGGCCTTGAACCAAGAATACTGTATCCAGCACAATTATCATTTCAATATGATGGCAGGATTAAACAATTCCCAGACAGGCAAAAGTTGAGGGAATTTGCCTCCCACAAACCACCTCTACAGGGTATCTGAGAGGGACTGCTCTAGATGGGAACACTCCTAAAAAGAGCACAGAACAAAACACCCAAAATATGAAGAATGGAGGAGGAGGAAAAAGAAGGGGGAGAAATAAAGAATCATCAGACAGTGTTTATAATAGCTCAATAAGCGAGTTAAGCTAGACAGTAAGATAGTAAAGAAGCTAATGTTGAACCTTTGGTAACCACAAACTTAAAGCCTGAAATGGCAATAAGTACATATCTTTCAAAAATCACACTAAATGTAAATGGACTGAATGCACCAATCAAAAGACACAGAGTAATATAATGTACAAAAAAGCAAGACCCATCTATATGCTGCTTACAAGAGACTCACCTCAAACCCAAAGACATGCACAGTTTAAAGTCAAGGGATGGAAAAAGATGCTTCATGCAAACAAAAGGGAGAAAAAAGCAGGTGTTGCAATACTAGTATCAGACAAAATAGACATCAAAACAAAGAAAGTAACAAGAGATAAAGAAGGACATTATGTTATGATAAAGGGCTCAGTACAACAAGAGGATATAACCATTATAAATATATATGCACCCAACACAGGAGCACCAACATATGTGAAAAACTACTAAAGGAATTAAGGAGGAAATAGAACGCAATGAATTCATTTTGGGAGACTTCAACACAACACTCACTCCAAAGGACAGATCCACCAGACAGAAAATAAGTAAGGACACAGAGGCACTGAACAACACACTAGAACAGATGGACCTAATAGACATCTGTAGAACTCTACATCCAAAAGCAACAGGATACACATTTTTCTCAAGTGCACATGGAACATTCTCCAGAATAGACCACATACTAGACCACAAAAAGAGCCTCAGGAAATTCAAAAAGACTGAAACCCTACCAACCAAATTTTCAGACCACAAAGGCATAAAACTAGAAATAAATGGTACAAAGAAAGGAAAAAGGCTCATAAACACATGGAGGCTTAACAACATGCTCCTAAATAATCAATGGATCAACGACCAAATTAAAAGGAGATCCAGCAATATATGGAAACAAATGACAACAACAACACAAAGCCCCAACTACTGTGGGACGCAGCCAAAGCAGTCTTAAGAGGAAAGCATATAGCAATCCAGGCATATTTAAA